TTGACCAATCGATGGGAGAAGATTAAAGTCCTTCACCACGAATTCAGTCGACGCTGGAAGGAGGAATATCTCAAAGATCTTCAGAAGAGATACAAGTGGAAGAATCCACAGCGAGATCCTCAGCCAGGCGACTTGGTAGTAGTCAAAGAAGACCCACTACCACCCACCGAGTGGCGACTCGGTCGAATTGAAGATGTTCGCCGTGGACCTGATAATTACATTCGAGTATTGGATGTACGTACCCAAAACGGGGTTATCACGCGCCCACTTGTCAAGTTGTGCTTTTTTCCTAATGAGCACCCTTAGCTCACAGGATAGCATAACCAAGAATAAAACAAAACTTCCATTTGTTTCAGGGAAAAACTATATATCCATCCAGTTACCCCTAATACTGTCCGCACTATTTTTTGATCTTTTCGTTCCAGAAAATGGCGACAAAAATGGCCGTACCCTTGGCCCCTACAGCCGAAACCGAGAATTGCCTGCAATGTAGACTCTGCCACAAATACCACCCTCTACGCATGTGTGGCGCTTTCCGGGCGATGAAGCCGCCACAACGACTTGTAGTAGCCAGGGCACAAGGCTACTGCATTAATTGTCTGGCGTTGACGCATACGACGGACGAATGTGATTCATCGAGCAGCTGTAAACGCTGCCATAAAGCGCATCACACATTGATGCACCAAGATGCAGCCGTTAAACGTAAGCCAGCCGCAAACGCAGCTCACCAGGTAGTGGCAAGGAAGAAGTCAGCAGCACCATAGCGCGCAAATCCAGCTGGCAGTTACCCTGGGCCACCGCCGGTCATTAAGCGCGCGAAGCAACGTGCGCCTACAATCAAAAAAAGGCGCAGCCACGCCACACAAATGTAACTGCCGTGCGCGTGAAATTACCCGTCTTTTCCCACTATTTCCAATTCCTCTATCCTTTTTGGCCAATTCACCACTCTAAAGCTAACAGCCCTTGCGCACGCACGGCAGCCTTAAACCGCGGCTTCATATAATTCTTTATATAGTAATAATTTGCCAAAAATAGTTTAAATTAAATAAGTTGTGAAAATAAAATTAATTTAATATTTATTAAAATTTGTGAACATTTTTAAATAGAAAAAAGTGCTTTTTATATCAGCTGTGGGCCCGCTCGACAGCCGGCTTCTCTTACTTCCCCTCAAGTCCTTGTGGACTTGTTCAGAATATAATTAACGTTTCAAATGAAATATTATAATTATTAAAGTTATTTCAATTTAATTAGCTCTGTGCGGTGAGAAAATTCAGTAAGAATTAGCAATTATTGGTGCAGAAATTGCGCTCTTTTGTGGATTTTTATTGGGTATTTGCCTTAATGAAAGCGGTTCAGTAAAAATTGGTAATAATTATTGCTGCCCATCAGCTCACCGAACAAGCCTATTGTTTTATTTAAAGCAAAATCATTGAAACATTTAAAAAAAATTTAGAAATTTAATTTTATAAATTTTTTATAAATTTAAATTTATGACTTTCATTACACAAAAAAAATCATTATCACAATTTCCCAAATCGAAAGTTTTTCTTGTAAAATTTTTCTTTTAATTGCCAAAAATTCAAAAATCTTATGGTAAAACAAACAGCCATCAAAATCCATGTCTAGCCGCTGATACGTCAACATTTTACGCGCCTCGACCACAATGTAATGGAACTTACCATGCCCTCGTCCAACATCTCCAATTCATTGAAACCGGCGCCCTCACTCCTAACCCGAATCACTGCTATTGACCGAAACTCCTAATCAATATTGCTAAAATCTTTTCCTCTGCCAATTTGCCAGATAAATTCGTTCTTTAAGCATGATGAAAAATAATTGAAGAAATGCATTTAAATTCAAAGAGTTGTCGGTACTTACTCCTTAATTAATTCCTTTAATTTGCCCTGCACACGATCATCAAATTTCTCGCCAATCGATGTTAGCTTCGGCCTTCTCACCCTCTTTCTATACAATCCAATCACAAGTCCCTTCTGAAGTGTATTTGGAAAAATTNACCCGAATTTTATCCGACCAAGGGCTTTTAACATCAACATTAATCGAATCGCTCATTCTGTCTCTACGATGACCAAGGTTTAAGTCCTGGTTCGATCAACGTCCAAAATAATAGAAAATAAATTTTTTTGTTTGTGGTCGCCCCTAGCCAGGTAATATCAATCCTGACATGAAAATCAAAGCTCCTTTTAAAAATCCATCGGCCGTTCGAAGGCGGTGTTCGCTTAGTTTAATCAAAATACCTCAAACCTGGCTTTGCTAATCGTGTACACGGTGGACATATGGCTGGACAGACAGACAGACAGACAGACATGGTTAAATCGATTATCCTCATCGTGTCTACCGTTAGTTGAACAAATTTAAGAACCCTACGGTTTTACGGTTACAACAATAACAACAAACAATTTTCTTACCATACTACAACCGAATATAAAAAACAGTATAGCCACATTCCACACACTGCCCACCTTCACGCATAAGGAACTGTAATTTAACTGACGAAAATTATTTTTCTTCCTTGTTGCACTCCAGTGGCGAATACGAAGTGGCTGTTATATATTTCCGTGCTGGTTACGAACCTGATCACTATCCAACACAAGATGAGTGGGATGCACGTTATATGATGGAGTGTTCACGTGCGATTAAATGCCCATCAATACACTATCATTTGGCTGGTACGAAGAAAGTTCAACAAGCGCTTGCACAACCCGAAATGTTGGAGCGATTTATAAGTGATCCAGAGAAGGTAAAAATTTTAAGCAAATGACCAAAGCTTGTGAGCATTTCTTACTTAAATTTTTATTTCATATCAAATGCAGATAAAAGCTATAGGACAAATCTTCACCGGCCTCTACTCGCTGGACGATTCTGAAGTAGGTAATGCCTCCTACGAAATGGCATTAAAAGAACCAGAAAAATTTGTACTGAAGCCACAGCGTGAAGGTGGTGGTAACAATGTGTATGGTGTTGACATTCCAGATGCGCTGAGGGTGAGTGTAAAGCTTTTTTTTTCATCAATATCAATATCAATTATGACTTTATTGAGTGCATTAATTTATAGTATGTGGCATAACTAATAGTAGCCACCAGCTTTTGCTGAAATTTTCAACATTCAATATTATTGTTTAAATTGATTTCAGAAAATGAGTCGCGTTGAACGTGCCGCCTGGATACTTATGGATCTCATTCAGCCACCGATTTCGCAGGGCTATATGATACGACCAGGTGGTAAATCGCCGCCCGAAATTGTGGATCTCGTGTCGGAGCTGGGCATTTTCGGCGTCATACTAGGTGATGTAGATAATGTAATATGCAATTACCAAGCGGGTCATATGCTGCGCACGAAACTCTCGACAGCAAACGAGGGCGGTGTGGCAGCCGGACTAGGTGCTTTGGATAGTCCATATTTGCTGGATTAGCGTTTTAACAATTAAGTTTTGGAGTGTAAAAAATTTGTAGTACCTTTGGTTCGGTGAAAACTGTTTTAATTTGCAATTTTTGAATAATGACACTATTTAAATTTGTTAATTTTTTTTTTTATTAATATTTACCAACATCATGTGAATTTGAAACAACTATTTTTAAATTGCACTTTTTTTTAGACTAAAAATTTTGATTAAATTTTTTAATCATTTCTTTTTTCACACACACATGCAACACACGCTACTATCATGTAATATTATATATATCAGGCAATATTATATATATCATGCAATATTGTACCCTTATATATATATATCATATATAATTGGCGCTTTGTAACCGCTGAAGCGATTTTCCGCCGATTCCGATTTTTTTATATATATACACATATAAATAAAAGAATGAAAACAACGCTGTTTTTTTTTTTAAACAAATCATATTTTAAAAATATATATACATGTATATACATATAAATAATCAAAAATATATAAACATCGCCATTTAGAATAATTAAAAAAGAAACAATTAAATCACAGATAAAATTTCGAATTACATTTCACTAAATATTATTATATACAAATACATTTGATCTTTGATCAGGTGGCAGGTCATGGCAGGGTTGGTGTGAGGAACATACTCTCAGCTCGACGAACTACTTTTGCTGATCAGGACAGGCCATTTGATAGAGGAATTGTATCATTGTACGGGTCGGGCGACCAGTCATGCGATCTTTCAACAAATATGGCAGAGTACCGAATTTCGTCAACATGCCCACACCACGTATATCCAAATGAGCCCAATCCACGCAAGGCACAAATTGCTGTACCGCAGTGAAGAATGAAAACAAAATTAAGTACAAAACCAACCAATGACCAAAATCCATTGTGTAATTTACATGTAAAATAGCAGCAGCCAAACAAGATGAAGCCGGGCCAGATCCATTATTGCTCACATCGAAACTAACATGGTCTGCAGAATTTAATTAAAAAAATAATTATATATACATTATTATTAGCAATTTCTATACAAAGCAACATAGACAGACATAAATCATAATCACTCACTTGTGACCAGATATTTATAATAGTTCCAGAGCGGTAAGCGCCACATGCGATCGCCAGTGAGTGAACCGGCCTTTTGGAATTGTTTCCAAATGTAATGGGAGTTTGAGAAAATGCCAGTTGCACCACCACCCAATGCCTTCTTCACACCCTTGCCCAGTGTTGCCACATCGACAACCAGACGTGGCTTGTACGTAGTCTGAGCATAGATCAGCGGATCAGCCATTACGACCACGCCAGCCTTATCAGTATCCTATATATATATGAAATACATTTATGTTATTACGTATTTTTTTTTTTTCATTTCGCTTTAATAAAAACTTACACGTATCGCCAGTGATTTACCGTTAAGCAACGTGACTACATCGCCGGGCTTGCAAGCCATACCCGAAGGCATATTCTCGCAAAGTGGTATAACTGCCGAAATGTTAATAGGTAAAGAGAGCGCAGCAGCAGCGCGTATGGAAGCAACTACAACAGCGGCACCGGCCATGGCGCCACGATATTCATCCATACCCTTGCAAGGCCTTAAGCAGAGGCCACCACTGAAAGTTATAGGAATTAAAAAATATATATATTATTTTACTTAACCTCAGCTCTTTTTTTTTAATTATAATAAATTCGTAACCCTGACTCACCTATTGAATGTCATACCCTTGCCCAATAACAAAATCGGCTTATCTTCTGGCGCTGTACCGCAATAACTTATCTCCAGCAGCACGGGCGGTTCGCAGGAGCCCTTCGCAATCATTAGAAATGAATTGAGATGTTGCTGTTCGATCCATTCCATTGTACGTATCTCAACCGTTACACCGCACGGACATAACGCGTCCACAGTAGCTTGTGCAAATGTGGTGGGCGTCATTTGATTGGCTGGTGCATCACTAAGTCGGCGAGCAAGATTTTGCGCTTCTGCTTTGAACAGACCACGCGTCCAGGCATCAATGTCGGGCGAATCGTATAACTCCAGTTTGGGTATCACTTTGCGATCCTTCTTCATTTTATTATCCTGATAGCGCCAAATTGCCAAAGCACTACCTTCGGCAGCCTGTTCGGGATATTCCATCGAATCAACAAACACTTGGAACAGCCTTGCATCTGCAAGCTGCGCGCACCGACACCAGCTGCTACGCGTACACTTTCCTAAGATAATTTTAAGGTTATCTGAAAGAAAAAAAAGAATGTGATTTACGTTTCAAATGAAATATAATAATTAATTAAATTATTTCAATTTAATAAGCTCTGTGCGGTGAGAAATGTCAGTGAGAATTAGCAAGTAACGGTGCAGAAATTGCGCCCTCTGGGTGGAGATTTTACTGGCTATTTGCCAAAAAAAACTCATTATCACAATTTCACAAATCGAAAGTTTTTCTTGTCAAATTTTTCTTTTATAGTTTAAGAGATTAAATTTCTTTTAATTGTCAAAAATTCAAAAATGTTTTGGTAAAACAATTAACCACAAAAATGTACCCGCTGTAAAGTCAAAATTTTACGCGCCTCGACTACAATGTATTGGAACTTACCATGCCCTCGCCCAACATCTCCAATTCATTGAAACCGGCGCCCTCACGCCCAACCCCAACCACTGCTATTGACCGAAACTCCTGATCAATATTNCCCAACCCCAACCACTGCTATTGACCGAAACTCCTGCTCAATATTGCTAAAAACTTTTCCTTTGCCCAATTTGCCTGATAAATTCGTTCTTTAAGCATGAAGAAAAATAATTCAGCACGAAGACACGTTGTCGGTACTTACCCCTTAATTAATTCTATTACTTTGCCCTGCACACGATCATCGAATTTCCTGCCACTCGATATTAGCTTCGACTCCTTATCGCCCTCTTCTGATTCAATCCCATCACAATTCCCTTCTGTGAAGTGTATTTGTAAAACTTTTAACATCTCAATACAACAAGCTGCTAAGTGCTGTGGATATTCGTAACGAATGGCACTTACCGTCAACCGCGAATCATCGGCGTAATACCTAAGAAAGACTGGTTTGAGATTTTTCACATTTTTCAATCTCAGTAGAGATTTTGTAAGCCAATTCGTTATTCGTAGCGCAGACAGTTTTTGGATGTTTTCAATAAAAAATATAATTGAAAATTCGAACTGACTGAATATTTTTCAAAGCCTGTTACGGTTCGTTTGAGTTTCTAGAAACAAAGTGTTCGTACCATGAATTTTTGTATCATGGGTTCGTACTTGAGAGCCAACTATCAAATCTTATGG